ACGTCAGGCGAATAAAAGTATTGTCCCAGCGATCGAGTCGTCTTCTTCTCACAGAACTCTAGGTTCATCGAAATGGATTGTGGCTCAATTTCTTGACGAACAATATATAAATGTGCTTTTTGATTCCAAATTTGTGGAAATAGTGCACTATGCTACGAAAAAATAGCAGCATGTGTAGTGCTGCCAGGCGATGAAGATACGCTAAGGCCTGCCAAGTGTGGCAGAAATAGGGAATGAATTAAGACGTGCTACTGAAATGTTTTAGTAGTACGTCAAAATAGCATTTAGATATCAATTAGAATGTACTGCACAATACCTTGTATTACAAGAGGTTACTAACGGAAAATTTACGAAAACAGCGTTACTGAAATACAGAAAGTGGTATGGTCATTAGCATGAGGCCTTAAATAGTAATGATACTAGGGAATCATGTGTTAAGTTCTCGTGGAATTTCCCACAGGCTGAGCATTCCGTGTCTTAATGCTTCTGTTGGAGAAGACATGCGCCCTCGTATCCAGTCCGGCTCTAACCTCACGTATTTTCACAGGATGTCCTCGCATTCTAATTTTTATGGCCAACTCGAAGAAGACTTCGGATCAAAGGCAACAATTCTGACCCCACAGCATGTAAAATGCTTACATCAGGTCGGCTCGTAGTCGTTTAAAATCCAAAGGCTAGAGGTCGAGATTGGACAGTGGTTTTTCATTTCGCAGTGAGCCTTGGCCGCGGGCTGATTTGGTTGCGCGTTAGTTCAGTTCAGTTTATTTGAGGGAAATGTAGTTATGAACCTATAAACCCCCTACTTGTTTACATTCATGTTGCGATATAAAAAATAATAGTACCTCACTTTATAAACGATGCCAAATGACACGCGCTAATAGGGTGGAGCAAAGGAAAATAAAGTAGAGAATGAAGAAACACCTTCGGATTTTTAGGTGAGTAAACTATCACTCATGGGAGAGCACTTCGTTGGAATTTTTGAAGGGCGCTACGGTTTTTACTAGACCACGGTCTCCATACTTCAATGGCAAATTCTAATGTCTATCGTACGAACGCCAACAATTAATCTCAAGAGGTGCCTTCACCTGCTCAGGAATTCAGCTTGAAAATGATTTGATCTTCTCAGTATTTATGGATAAACCGATCGATTTATCGACCTTATTCAACCGTTTTGAATGACATAACCAGTGTCGAACGTTTTCCAGGCTCAAAACTCGCTGTGATACGGAGCAATATAAGCGCCTGATCAAGGTGATGAGTTTTGCCGCTACACCATCTAATGGCATCATCCGCCAGAAAGACTCGCGATGGGCGGAATCGAACGCAGTAGTGAAGTCAGCAATGCAAACAATCATCAGATCTTAGCGGTAATGGCAGAATTCGAGAATGCATCTGAGTGTAATTATATGTACATACTATCAGCAAATTCATGTCCAGCCCGGAATCAGGTTTAGTCGGGTTTCTTCCTAGTCATGTACG